CGTTATGTAATTTTTCATGAAAAATAAAACAAAAATAAATAAAATCCAATATTTTATGTGTATTATTTTAATTTAAACATACAAAATGTGTTGTTCAATAATACGAATTTTTCGGTATTACGAAAGGGCCTGACACTATATAATTCGTACTAGTGGACGTCCACTGTAATTATATATATATATATATATATATATATATATATATATATATATATATATATATATATATATATATATATATATATATATATATATATATATATATATATATATATATAATATCAACACATATAATATAATATAAGCTTTATTATTCAAATTGATAATTTACTTTAGAAATGAGGGATTTGGTAAATTTTTGGTTCTACGAAAAAAATTCTATTTCTGTCAGTTTTTATCTGATTTCAACGTTTTATATCTTATTTTATTCATACAAATATGTTTTCAAATAAAGTGTTGGTCAAAAATGATACTGAATTGTAAAAAAATAAAAAAAAATATAAAAATTTGTATTTAGATCTAAATATTTTACACATTTCCGAAAAAAATATAAAAATGTGTGTACTTTTTAAAAAGGAAACTCTTTTCAAAACAGTTGAAGAATATTAAATCGGTTAAGAAACTTTTGAGATATATTTTTTTGGTCTGTCGAGTCAAAAAAAAAAAAACGTTTTTTCCAATATCTTCCGATTTTTAGGGTATATGAAGATTCTAAAAATGGTAAAATGATCTACTCATATAGGTCTATAAAAAGCATTATATCGCTTAATTAGTGTTTTTGAGTGTCACACAGTGTAATTTATTTAATTAAATTAATATTTTATTTCATTAATTGTTGATACTTTTATTTTGTTTTCAAATAAAATATGGATATTTTGTTATAATGAATTAAATTTAGATTTTTGAATTTGACGAAAAATAAGGTTGATGTTATGCTTTTAGGAGAAGGGAACCCTGTATGGGACCGACCGCACCCATGTTATAATTCGATCGTGAAAAAATCTTGAAATAGAATTTTTGTATACAAAACTAATATTTGTGCCAAATTTTATTTAGTTATGAGTAATGTATGGGAGCTATGACCAATTATGTATATAAAGACAAAATTTCAAAATTCTGTATCTATATCATTATTTGGTAATGAATATTGTGCATTTAAGTGATTTTCGGGAGGGGACCGATTTATGGACCGATCCAAAAAAACTTTCATAGTAATATTATTGTATATGTGAGCAATACATGTACCAAATTTTATATGGATATTTTAATTTTGTAATAAATTATGTGCGTTTAAGTGATTTTCGGGAGGGGACCTTGTATGGGAGCTATGACCAATTATGGACCGATCAGAAAAAACTTTCACAGTAATATTTCTGTGCATATGAGTAATACTTGTACCAAATTTTATATGGATATCTTAATGTAGTAATGAGTAATGCGCGTTTAAGAGATTTTCGGGAAGGGACCTTGTATGGGAGCTATGACCAATTATGGACCGATTGGAAAAAACTTTCACAGTAATATTTCTATGCATATAGGCAACACTTGTACCAACTTTTGTATGGAAATCTTAATTTAGTAATGAGTTATGCGCGTTTAAGTGATTTTCGGAAGGGGACCTTGTATGGACCGACCTAGAAATTTTTTTCTCTGAATGAATTCTATTGATATATCGACATTGTGACGGAAGTTATTAACAATGGAGTTTTGGAGTTTTTTTATTTCGGACCATACCTTTCTCAAAATTTAGAGTAAATAGTTTTTTTGAACAAAATTTAACTCAATTTAGTAATCACATTAATCTCATTATTCGGCATTGTTTCGGAACATCAACACCCACCCAAATTTTAATATAAATTAATTGTCATACTGATTTCGGCATAAATTTAATTACATCTACACTGAAAATAAGCCGTGCTTAACTTTACGAAAAACAATTACGAAACTTTTTTTACAAAATAAAATTTTATTTTGTTACGAAATTTTTTGTTATTTTCGTAATTTTGAGCGAGTTAAATTAAACATAATTTTAAATTGACGGGAAATTAGCTGCCTTATTTCTTAAGTTTTAAAAGGCGAACATTTGATAATAAAAATTTTGATTTATTTTAAACTAATCTTGATGGAAATAATACTTTGAAAATTGTTATCACTTAATAATAAAATTTTTAAAGTGTCTGTTAAACATAAAACAATAGTTTTTTTAATTTACAATAATGTTTTTTAAATGAACTAACATTATTATGTAATTAAAAAAAATCATAAAATAAACAAATTTTGTTTCTAAAATTATTTTGCATTATACTAAAATATTTCGTACAATTTCGTATATATTACGAAAGAATGTACGAAATTTTTCGTGTATATTAGGCATGGATTATTTTCAGTGTATTTTTACAGTATCAGTAAATTGGGATAAGATCTCAAATTCCATTAATAAGTTTCATTATAAAATTTCTGATTAGAAACTGATTTTTCTTTTTATTTAAATTGTTTGTTAAACATTTTTTTACCTTTTTCAACCAAATTTTCACAATAGCTTAGGCTAGTTTCTATCAAAATCATAAATTGTCGGTCTTGTAATTATGATGTTTTAATCTCGAAAGAACAGAAAATAAAATCAAGAATACTTTTATCGTTTCGAGGTATCAGATTAACCAAGAGTTAATATAAACTATTATTTTCTTTCCATTCAAGATTAAAACTCATTAACGCCTAATTATTCAAAAATAATAATATCTCTGAATTGTCCTTAACCTAAAGTTTAAGTAATATCACTGAATTGTCTTTAATCTTAAGTTATTTACCTAAAGTTTAAATAATAATACCCCTGAATTGTCTTTAAATCCTAAGAATATATCAATAAATTTAATGGCAGGCCCAGTTAGAATTGTACATTATAGTTCTAACTTAGGGTTATAGTTCAGTTAGCCATCTGGCTTAAGTTAAAATACTTGTAAAATAACTTTGAAATGATATTTGAATATATTAAACATTTAACTTAATTTTAATATGACTTCTATTTAAACAGGCTATAGAGGTAGGTATCGAGGTGTGATTTGGCTCCAAAGTTTAATACATTTTGTCTATATTGTCTAAAAAATTATACATCAAATTAAAGGTATTAAAAATACCTTTCCAATGATATATAACATGATACTAAAATATGGACCGACTTTGGGTTTTTCCCGAAAAATATATATTTTGACCCGACTTTTTTTATCTAAAAGAAATCGGGAAAAAATGTCAATATAATTCTATTTGAAATATATGTTAATATGTTAATAGTCAATGAATTAAGCTTTTATTTAAGGTATAAACCATTTATACTAAAAAGCTCAATATCTTTTAAATATAAGTACGGCGAATTCATTTCACGAAACATTTTTGTAAAATTTTTATATTTTATTAAGAATTAATAAGAAGAAAATATATTCTGAGTTGAATGTTTGTTTCAAACGAAAAATTCTATTTCGGCAGTTAAGTTAAGTAAGTTAAACTTAATAAGTTAAACTTAATTTTTTATGAAAAATAAACATAAAAAAGTACATATTCATGAAAAAATTATATTACGAATGAATGAATATTTGTTGCGAATGGATAATTGCACTCCGGCGAAGTAATTTTCAATATTTGGCCATAATGTAGCAGCCGCCGGAAGGGTAAATACCTCATATGAGTTTTGTTATATAAAGCGTTCCGGAACAGACTTTTTTTAGTTAATCTCTTTATCTACATAGTGTATATATAAAACAATATTTTTTAATTTGTTAACATTTAATAGATTTCAAAATTAAGCCATAACGTAGAAGTCAGCTGCCGCCGGCCGGGTAAATACTTCATATGCGTTTCTTAATATTAAGTGTTCCGGAAGAGATTTTTTTAGTTAATCACGTTATCTACACAATTTTAATATAAAATATAAAACAATAATGTGTAATATGTTAACATTTAATAGAAAAAAATATTTTTCTTAAATAACATATTTGTTAACATACCAATTATGCCATTATTTAAATAAAATTATATTTGTTTACGAGATGCTTGGTATTTTCAGATTTTTTACATAAACAATTCAAAATATTAACGAAGTTTTTCTCCGTTTAATGGACATTTTTAAATATAAAAATTTAAACAATAACAAACTTTGACAGCTACGTAAACCATGCGAATGAAGAAAAAAAGATCAGCTGATTGAATAACACCACCTTATATGAATTCGCCTTGGTATGCATTGTCAATGTTTTGTACTGACTGCGGCGTTATGAAATACTATACTTTGTTCGTATACACAGCAACTGACGTTTTGGAAGTCAGCCGCCTTACCAAACTTTTGTTCTCTGTACAATTGTAGTCTGTATACATACAATATCCCATTTTAGCAATGTTGCTTTATTCGTTCACTATGTTATTAGAGTAAGACGCATATAACTCTAAGAATTTTGTTATTCTATAGGATAGTAAGAAAATCAATGTTAATGAAAAAGAAGAAGACCTAATTAAAATACTTACTTACTTACTTGTCTCACTGTATTATCAAGCCCATCTTGAAATGATTAGTCACCTGGGGCCACACTAAGTGGTTAGTTCGGGACAGTCCTGCCGAACTGCAGGGAACATACAAAATGTATGAAACTCGTTGTCGACAGTGGCTGTGGTTCCAATTGTAAACAACCATTGATACGAATATGAAATTTTTGTTTTTTTTCGCCCGCAATCGAAATGCGGTATACATATAAGCACTACTTGACATTCAGAAAAATTTAGTAAATTAACAGAGTAAATTGGTGAAACAATTGTCTAATTCACAAGCCTCGTGTAGCTACGTATCGTGTGTATTTTTGTATTAGTTTACACTTCTGTATAAATGTTATTGGTAATTTCAATTAAAAAAGCTCGTATAACTTTACGTTTATTTTTCATGTTTATTTATTTCGTAATCAATGTCAAACTATCATTCTCATGTGAATGCCTATAATTAATTTAGTTTTTCTATTTAATTTTATTTTTATAAATATTGAAGATGTTTTTCTTTATTTTTTACAACATGGCTTTTTACACTACACAAGCAGATATCGGAATTCTGTATTTTAATATGCGATAGAAAATACAAATACCAGTTGTGAATTGGACAAATATGTATTTAGGTACCGTTAACGGTTTGCTCATTATATCCTTTCAACAAAGTTATGTACAAATAGTAAATAAAACAATCATTTAACTTTAAAAATTATGATATTGCATGGTTTATTATAATCATATATCCGACACAAGACATAAAAAGAAATCTTCCTGAAAATGTAAAAACACTAGATTTTAATTATTTTTATGTCTTAAAATAATAACATTTTACCTTTTAACAAACAGTAAAAATGTTACGACTTCTTTTGATCTTTCCAGTTATGTAATCTTCTCAATTGTTCTAAAATGAGAGAAAGTTGATAAAAATGTTACTTATTTTTACACATTTATACCTAAAACTAGAGACTATTATATATATATATATATATATATATATATATATATATATATATATATATATATATACGATATGTAGTGTATTATTGACATTTTACCTAAAAATTTATTCACTTCATTAGAATTAATTAGCTCAAGACATTATTTGTCTTGCTAAATCACTTCCAAAGCAAGTAGTAGTAGCACCACTATCTAATAATGATAAATACATCTTCCCAAAAACAAACACATTAACATAATAAAGTCTAATATCAATACTATTGGTAACAATGGTCGATATACATTGTTTTTGTAGGTTTCTCCAGTATGTTTTTATTCGAATTGCCGATCAAGTTTTCTTCTTATTTGGTTGACAAAATTTGCATATATTATTTTCGTTTATTTCCTTAACACGCGTGTGATATATTTGGTCTAAACAATTTAGAGAAACTTTTATATTATTAAATTCAGAAGTTAGTTTAATGCCTTTTTGTATGGATGTGTATCCTTTTTCGGATGCACATCCGCTTTCAAGTTTAAATGTTTATTTTGTTTCTGACACTTGGAACAATTCGGCTTATAAGTATCCGATGTTCCACAACCGTAACAAAAAATTTTACGAGGAGCCAAACAATCCTGATACCCATTTCATCACAATTCCAACATTTTAACAAATTACTATTAACTGCCTCAATTCGATCATCATTGTCATCACTATTATCTGTTTCTATTTTGTCATGGGATAATAAAATTTTCTCATGCTTTCTAATTTCCCGTCTTAATGTCGAAATATCGCTAATATTTACATGCAATAATTCATGCCGAATATTATTTCTCAAATTTCTACTAATAATTCCCACAAGCTCTTGTTCAGTTAAAGGAGATCTTAATTTGTCTGCCATGCATAGCATAACATCTAAAAATACACCAAATCGCTCATTAAACTTTTCTCTACGTCTACGCATATCATCCTTTATATCACAATCTGAACTCATCACAGTAATTTCATCTAAGCTACCCTTAAACGTTACATGCCAATTCTGAATGATATTTGATGTTCTATCCTTGGAAATCGACAATTGATCGTAGGAATTATATAACGGTCGAGAAATTCTAGAATTTGCATTCCCTATTTCAGATCTGTTCCTATTCTCATTCATATTTAAATTATAAGACGAAAGAACATTATGCAATTCACTACCAATTATTTCAGCTCTAAAATTATGAAGAGATTCGGAAATATAGTGCAATCAAGTGCTCTGCGAGCCTGAGATCTAGTCTGAACCCGTGGTACAGCACCTTGAGATTGTACATTAGGTTGATTAACATTTTCCTCAGTCGAGGTGTCATCAATTATTTGAACCATAGGTTCACTTGGACTACTAGTTAAGGGCATTTGTTATCAATTATTGCTCATTAATTATTGCTCTTTTTTCTTTTTGTATATGTTTTTCCTTTTAAATGACTACTTCTAAGGTTGATGTTTGATTCTTATCTTATTAAATGTATAATTCGAGTAAAATTATTCAAATAGTATGTCAAAATTTTAATTGTCAAGAACTACACATTAAAAAAAAATAAATTTATAATTCTATCGCAAAGGTATGTCAACTATTCATAATTGAACCAAACTTCCAATTGCAAAAGGATTTATAGAATAAATTAAAATTTATATAACATTATATAAATGGACAGTAATAAACTAAAAGTTTATATTTCTGTACTCCAATTTATAACATACATAATATATAAAAAAATAAAATAATTGAATAATAGGACTTGCATTAAACGTTAGTTTTTTTTCTTTTCAAAAACTAGATGTTAATTCATCTATGCAGGCCCCACGTTGGGCGCCAAGAATTATGTAACGATTTTCCTGCTCTACCATTTATTCAACTCGATCTGTAGACATTACACAATCTTAAAAAAAATAATCATGATTTTTCTTTTTTTTTAAAGAAACACATTTTTGGTACAAAGATAAAATATATTATGCCATATGTGTTCCTTCCATAAATATCTAAACATCAACCTTATTTTTCGTCAAATTCAAAAATCTAAATTTATAAATGGTAGAGTTATTCAACTCGATCTGTAGACATTACACAATCTTAAAAAAAATAATCATGATTTTTCTTTTTTTTTAAAGAAACATTTTTGGTACAAAGATAAAATATATTATGCCATATGTGTTCCTTCCATAAATATCTAAACATCAACCTTATTTTTCAAAAATCTAAATTTAATTCATTATAATAAAATATCCATATTTTATTTGAAAACAAAATAAAAGTATCAACAATTAATTAATTTAATTATATTTATTTAAAATAATACACATTTATTATATTTTGTTCCGTTATGTAATTTTTCATGAAAAATAAAACAAAAATAAATAAAATCCAATATTTTATGTGTATTATTTTAATTTAAACATACAAAATGTGTTGTTCAATAATACGAATTTTTCGGTATTACGAAAGGGCCTGACACTATATAATTCGTACTAGTGGACGTCCACTGTAATTATATATATATATATATATATATATATATATATATATATATATAATATCAACACATATAATATAAGCTTTATTATTCAAATTGATAATTTACTTTAGAAATGAGGGATTTGGTAAATTTTTGGTTCTACGAAAAAAATTCTATTTCTGTCAGTTTTTATCTGATTTCAACGTTTTATATCTTATTTTATTCATACAAATATGTTTTCAAATAAAGTGTTGGTCAAAAATGATACTGAATTGTAAAAAAAATAAAAAAAAAATATAAAAATTTGTATTTAGATCTAAATATTTTACACATTTCCGAAAAAAATATAAAAATGTGTGTACTTTTTAAAAAGGAAACTCTTTTCAAAACAGTTGAAGAATATTAAATCGGTTAAGAAACTTTTGAGATATATTTTTTTGGTCTGTCGAGTCAAAAAAAAAAAAAACGTTTTTTCCAATATCTTCCGATTTTTAGGGTATATGAAGATTCTAAAAATGGTAAAATGATCTACTCATATAGGTCTATAAAAAGCATTATATCGCTTAATTAGTGTTTTTGAGTGTCACACAGTGTAATTTATTTAATTAAATTAATATTTTATTTCATTAATTGTTGATACTTTTATTTTGTTTTCAAATAAAATATGGATATTTTGTTATAATGAATTAAATTTAGATTTTTGAATTTGACGAAAAATAAGGTTGATGTTATGCTTTTAGGAGAAGGGAACCCTGTATGGGACCGACCGCACCCATGTTATAATTCGATCGTGAAAAAATCTTGAAATAGAATTTTTGTATACAAAACTAATATTTGTGCCAAATTTTATTTAGTTATGAGTAATGTATGGGAGCTATGACCAATTATGTATATAAAGACAAAATTTCAAAATTCTGTATCTATATCATTATTTGGTAATGAATATTGTGCATTTAAGTGATTTTCGGGAGGGGACCGATTTATGGACCGATCCAAAAAAACTTTCATAGTAATATTATTGTATATGTGAGCAATACATGTACCAAATTTTATATGGATATTTTAATTTTGTAATAAATTATGTGCGTTTAAGTGATTTTCGGGAGGGGACCTTGTATGGGAGCTATGACCAATTATGGACCGATCAGAAAAAACTTTCACAGTAATATTTCTGTGCATATGAGTAATACTTGTACCAAATTTTATATGGATATCTTAATGTAGTAATGAGTAATGCGCGTTTAAGAGATTTTCGGGAAGGGACCTTGTATGGGAGCTATGACCAATTATGGACCGATTGGAAAAAACTTTCACAGTAATATTTCTATGCATATAGGCAACACTTGTACCAACTTTTGTATGGAAATCTTAATTTAGTAATGAGTTATGCGCGTTTAAGTGATTTTCGGAAGGGGACCTTGTATGGGGGTTATATCCAATTATGGACCGACCTAGAAATTTTTTTCTCTGAATGAATTCTATTGATATATCGACATTGTGACGGAAGTTATTAACAATGGAGTTTTGGAGTTTTTTTATTTCGGACCATACCTTTCTCAAAATTTAGAGTAAATAGTTTTTTTGAACAAAATTTAACTCAATTTAGTAATCACATTAATCTCATTATTCGGCATTGTTTCGGAACATCAACACCCACCCAAATTTTAATATAAATTAATTGTCATACTGATTTCGGCATAAATTTAATTACATCTACACTGAAAATAAGCCGTGCTTAACTTTACGAAAAACAATTACGAAACTTTTTTTACAAAATAAAATTTTATTTTGTTACGAAATTTTTTGTTATTTTCGTAATTTTGAGCGAGTTAAATTAAACATAATTTTAAATTGACGGGAAATTAGCTGCCACAACAAAATTTTTTTTCTAACCAAAATTCGAATAAAAAATAACCAAATTAAGAAAAAGAAAACAAAATTATTTTTATTTTTTTCATGTTTACATATGGACATTAAAATAACAAATTCATTTTCTGAAGTGGAACTATGTTAAATTTCGTCGCTAAACTGGTATTATGAAGACAGTTATCTTATATGAGACGTATGGTCAATTATGGACCAATTCTCATAAAATCTGACAGAGATATTTTAGTTCCTTTAAAACTTGATTATGTTGAATGTTTGTTGCTATATTGCAGTACATTATGAGCTTTAAAGTCATTTTCTGAGGAGACTTTTTATGAGGGATAGAGTCAATTATATACCGATACTCATAATATTTCAGTTTTCTATCTTGTTTCTTTTCGCCTCTATCGTGTTTTCAACAATAAATATAAGTCTCTTCGCGGATTCGTTAATAAGTGTATTTAATATTTATTTTAAAAAATAACAGAGTTTTTAATGCGTTTTAGCGCAATTCAAAAATACTCCACATGTGACTTTTTGGAAAACAATTTTAAATTATAAAATTCTTCCCATTTTATGTACAGATTTGGCGATTTCGTTCGAAAT